AACAGCTGAGAGCAAAACGTGAGCCACTGTGGGGAACACGGCTTGAACTCAAGCGCGGTACTCAGGCCCTCTGCGCCTCTACACGTGCCAGCAAGCCCTGAAATTCCGCCCATCACAGCAATGTTTAGACCTAAAGGCAGCGCGCCAGCTAAACGCCTGCAGCGCACCGTTGCACGGGATGCATACTGCAAATGCAAAGCGAGATGCACTCAAGCAAGCCCCTGCTCGTCCTCTATCGACTTTACCCACCTGTGTCCAGGATTGCAACGGGCGTTGCGACCATGCCTCAAGCCAAGTTCAAACCGCGTCGGTGCAAACATGAGAAAAAGAGTGGGTGCACAGCGGCAGCGGTAGCTCATCTTCCCAAAGCTCGCTCGACAAAACAGCTTCTCGGGGCGCTTGCCTTCCGTGTGCGGGGAATTTGACACAGGCGCGCTGACAGCTACGTTCGAGACAAGCCAACAGAGCATAGGCGTCCTTTTTGGGGAAATAGATGGGTTTCCCTGGTGGATGAGCAAAAACCACCAGGTAAATACCAGGAATCGCCATCTATTTTTCTACCAAAACAACTAAAAAGGACGCCTACGCAAGAGAGTTCTTCTTCCGACGTGTTTCGACGGCTCGCTGCACGCTGCTTGGTTCCTCCATAGGCAGCTGGGACCTCAAGGAAGTGAGCGCTCAAACACCCTCTGGCCATATGGTTCATCGACGGTGGTGTAAAGCTTGCAAAAGGGGTTTACCATGTCTCGGTGGCTTTCTGCCCCCCTGCTAAGAGTGAATTACTTTTAGTGGGTTTCATGGAAAGCCCCTAAAAGTTGGCAAACAGTCGAAGTCCTAACAGCCAAGCAAAATGCGCCAAAGATGTTGCTAGAGCCAACAGTCAATTGGTTTGGGCGCTGCTCCGGCAAAATCAAGGAGTCGCCCGGGCGCTTGATGGAGGCTCGAAGCGCTCTCTTTGTCCTCGGGCAGACTCGATTCCTTTGGTTAAAAAAAACAGTCTCAACAAGAAGCTGTGGCACATTGCGCAGTGAATGAGGCTGCGAGGCTTCATCAAGAAGCGCCTGCAAACGCCACACACGTGGTTGCATTGGAAGGGCGGCATGCGTCCCAAGCAGAATGACTCACACCATCAACAAAGCGAGGTATCAGAAAGCGACGCATCGTTCCAAACGTTTGCCTCAAGCAATGAAGGCTCATGCCTGGACCGCAATGCCGGAGCGTCGAGGGAGCACCCGCCCACGACGCGAAAGAACAGCTGAGCGCAAAACGTGAGCCACTGTGGGGAACACGGCTTGAACTCAAGCGCGGTACTCAGGCCCTCTGCGCCTCTACACGTGCCAGCAAGCCCTGAAATTCCGCCCATCACAGCAATGTTTAGACCTAAAGGCAGCGCGCCAGCTAAACGCCTGCACTGCACTGTCGCACGGGGGGGCATACTCCAAATGCAAAGCGAGATGCACTCAAGCAAGCCCCTTTTCGTCCCCTATGGAGTTGGCAAACGATGGCCTTGCGGCAACCAACGACTCCCCTTGAAACACAACCCCCCGTGCCCACGATGTCTTAGCTGGGCAAGCGTGATTCACTTGGCACTTAACGCCCGGCTGCACAAAACTCGGCGTTCTACTTAACACGACACGAGATCGCCAGGCCGAGATTCACCATCCACACCGATAGCCTGGCTCCAGAACGGCAGGCGTCAAACAAGGGGCTCCAAAAGAATACACGTCATCCTTCCCCGGCTAAAATGCCGAGCCAAGAAGAGACGCGGTCATCGGTCCAGTATACACCAGATCCGGGAGGCGATGTTGGCATCAGACTTGGCGACAAAGCTGCCCCGTTGCCGGCTCTCTCTGCTTCCCTTGGAATTCTTCTCTGACCGCTCTATGCGCTTCTGCATCCGGTCATCCGCGCGTTTAAAAAAACCTCGCACTGGGAGATCTCAACTCAGCTTCTGCCGCTGGCAGAAGAAGAACATGTCATCTGGCACATAGAACATGTCATCAAAACAGGGCAAAGAACTCAACAGCACGGTGTACGTGCGGCTCGGCTACATCACGTCATTTCTTTGGGATTCCTGGGGATTTTGGCACATTGCGACACATTGCGGCGCCCGAATCAGTCGCCTTGCGGCACAAGGCGAGAAACGGCAGACTCTCCCCTAGCATCTATTCACCTCCTGAGTGGACTGGCCAAAAAGTCCAAACTTTGCATTTAGCACTGAAATGGGCTTCCCAGAAGATTGAAGTTTAAAGTCCAGGAACTCGGGAAGTGAGACTATGGACCTTTCAAAGGGCTCCGTCATACAGGAAAGCAAACCGAAACGTGTAGGCTTCACACACCCAGCACGCGAACTATTGCTTTCGATGTCCATCTTGGGCTGCGCAAAGGTGCAACTTGATGCCCACATCCGTGGAGAATCTGTGGCCCTTCACGCTTTGGGGGGCGTTTGGGAGTTGCGGGGGGGGTGGGGGGGTACTGAGCACACTTCCCCGCGCAGGCAACTCTCGAACCGCGGTGCTTTTGCGGCCCGCGTCAAGCACGCAAACAAACACGCGGATTCCGCGCCGCGCTGCCCAGCCGCGCGGCTTCCGCGCGCGCGCGCCGCCCACAAAATCCAAGCGAGCACCGCCGCTTTCGCCTCGCCGGGGGAAAGGAAGCCGCGCCAAAGCGTCGAGGTGTGCGGATTTTCCACGTGGCATGGGTTCGCTCGGAAGGCGCCAGAATCTCTCATTGAGCGCTTTGTCTGAACGCACCTTTCAACTCCACGACTTGACTCGAACGCAAAAGGCGAAGCGAAGTTGGTGGTCTGGCATCAGGTCATTCAGTCAGTCAGTCGGTGTGAAGTCGCCAGTGCAGGGGTTAGCCAACATCGGCCTGGCCCTGACAGGCACTTTGCTGGCACCGGCTCCAAGCCGCCTCGAAGTAGCTCTGAAGACAATGCCAAATATCTGGGCATTGACAGCACGCGTGCTTGGCGCTGCTGCGCGTGAACAACTCCGGGAATAAAGTTTAGCATACATCCAAAGCTTTTCAGCGTTGTAGCAATGCTGGTGGGGCTGCAGCTACTTCACGCACGGAGAGCACAAGCTCGCGGCGCGTCAAAAGAAGGGCACGTTCATCAGCGATCAACATGCATAAAAACCGCTTGTGGAATCCAGGCCAACGCACGCTGCTGCCGCACCAAAAAAGGCTGAAGCACCATGCCGGCTAAGGGCAAACCGCACGGTGTCCAGCAGAAGCTGACGCACCGTTGCCGACTTTGCAATTAAGTGAGTGACCTGGGGCACCATCCCGCATTTGATATGTTGGGTCATGTCATCTATTGTACAGCTCTAATCGCCACTTCAACTTTGTGGAGACAAATAAATCATCCGCTGTCATGTTCAAAAGTGCGTGCAAGGAGGCCTAAATCGCATGCATTCGGTCCCCTCACGCGCGACTGCTTCAGGCACACCAACCATCCACAAACAGGGGGCAAAGGGCACTACTGGGGGACCTAGCCATGTTTGAAGCACTCAACCTTCTCCATCTTAAGTGGCCAGGGTACTTCCGTCTCAGCGCGCAAAGAGGGGTGCACCTAGCTTTACGGACAGTGCGGGTCTGGAAGCAAGTACTTCGAAACCCTCACGCATTGAGAAAGCATCCTTTCAGCTTGCCTGCTGCGCACCAACAGTCAACACAGAACCTGCGGTTTCAGCCCGAGATGGGCAAGTCTGCAGGGCAACTCCTTCTATTCACGTGTGCCGGATGCAATCATCTTCGCAAACTGCCTTCAACTTCAGTTGAGACAACAACGCCGCCTCGTCTTGCAGCCTGTGCAAGGCTTGCATCTCGCCCAAGCCGCGCGGCATGTGCAGGCGCCGGGAGACAACTTGCTGCACCAGCTGCGATGAAGTGCAAAGACCACGCATTGCTCCACTCAAACGACACGCTCGACGAATCCAGTGGCTATGACGCTATTAGGGGGGGTGTTTCTGCAGCATGCTGCAGAATGAGCCAAACATGCTGCATATGCTTTGAAAATGGCGCCCTTGATCTTCCCTGGCATGGAACAACAAGCTCCTCACCAAAGGATCAACACTACGTCAAAGCATGATGTCAGTAGTAAGAGTGTGAAGCGCCCGCCATGAAATGCATTTCTGCTTGCGAGGTAATTCAGATTCTGAATGAAACAGAATTGGGTTTGGACCTAATCCCGGGTGGGAACAGGTATCTGGCAACATTCGGCTTGCGTACTTCATGACGCCAACCACAAGATAGAGGCATGATTCCCCTGAGCGTTGCAAGTAAACAAAAAAAAGTGGCCTAATAGTGCAAAATCTGAAGAAAACCATTTGCTTTATGCAAACTCAATACGCGGCCCACTTGGCAGCCCCTCTGCAGGGAATCGGCGGCACCAAACAAAATTTGGACACGCACTTTCGCACCAAACATCGCCTTGCATGGCTCCTGTCAACTGGAGCAGTCCATGCTTTCAGACCCGACAGGAATCCTCGCCGCTCGCGCTTGCCCCGAGTTTCCTTTGGGAATGAAAAACCTGGGCAACGGTGCCTGGGCTGGTGAAGAGAGAGCAAGGAAGACCATCCATCTGGGTACGGGTCAAGATGAAACCACCTGGGCGGGCAGGTTTTAGTCAACTTGTTTCCATTTCCCAGGGCAACCCATTTTGGGGTTAACCGATGTTTTTGACTCACAGCCATATTTTGCGACATTTGCGAGAGAGGAGGGCCGAAACCGCAGCAGCGCGACAACGCGATTTGCGTCCTCCAGAGTACGGTTAGTGCTCCAGGCCATCTGCGAAGCTTGCTTGTTCCTCACTTGTGCGTGTTGTGTTTTGTGTGTTTTGTTCTCGTGGCATTGAAATTGCAGAAACTGGAAGGCTTGTTCAAGGGTTGGATTCCTTGACCAAACACCACGGGTGACCTTCCTCCCCACTCCAAATCCGGAAAGGAACAAAAAAGCAGAACCACGGCCCAAGTCAGGTCCAAACTCTCGCTCGCCTCAAGCTCGAGGTGTACGCACAAGCCTCGCACCGACTCGAGAAGGCTCGAGATGGTCGGGTTCCCCAAAAAAACGACCTCCGATTCCTAAGGGAAACTGGGCTGCTGGTCAGATCCCCCGCTCAAAGTGAATAACTTGTGAAATGGAAATCCCCGCGAAATACTAAATGGGGATGGTTGGGAGCCACCGGCCGGGGGTTAGTCTCCCCCAAGCCCATTTTTACGGGGTGGGGACAGGGCTGTGGGAACTGAAATCCAAATCTGTGATCAACACAAAGGGCCCCTCAAAGACTATCCGCCCATTTTGGGGGATATCACAGAAGTGGTTTGATAAACCCCCAGTGATCCCACCCTGAACATGAGCGTGGCTCTCTTGTGGCAAAGTGAAACGGGGGGGGTTGGGGGCTTGAGGGGCGGGGGCTGGGGGGGTTGGGGGGATTGGGTTTGGGGGGGGGGGTTGGGGGGGGGGCTTACTAAGTCTAGTTGACAGTTCGTTGTCCTTTCTGGATTCACTCCGGTTGAAAATAAATCTCTAATCGCTTACTGTACTAAGTAGGGTTTACCCTCCACACTTCAGCGCCAAATCCTAGCTGGGGCAAACCCCCACATGGAATATGTTTTCCTCAAGACCTTGAAGTTCTTGTCGTTTCACAAAGAAAGCGACCAACTCCCCCTGGCCTTCTTCACTTAAAGCAACTAAAAACAACCAAAACCCTACCCAAAAAAAACATCGGCCCAAAAAACCGCCCAGCAAAAACAGCATCCCAAACCCCCAAAACCCGCCTCTCCTCGCGCAATTTCAATTTCAAAGCGCCGAGAAGAACCGCCGAAAGAACGCCAAACGCGCCGAGGGTTTTAAAGAAACCACAGGGGATGGTTTATCTGGGGGTCATTCCATGTCTCGTTCCCTGCAGAGAACCAGCCAGTCATTGGCTTTTGCCGCTGGCGCTTCAGCCTCGTCGCCTGAGGTCCCGGGCAGCGCGCGGCCCTGCGATGCTTGGAGTCCGGCAGGGAGCCGAGCGCCACCAGCTCCGGCAGCTCCTCAGCCCGCGCTCGCGCTGGCTGGGCTTGGTGTCCTTCGGGCAAATCGATGGGTTTCCCTGGATGTACAGAACTAAGACGGCGGCGAAGGCGCCCCGTTTTTTGGCAAGGATCACTGCCATAGTTGTCCTTTTAGCGGGAATAGATGGCCCTGGTAGATGAAACCACCCGGTAAATACCAGGAATCGCCATCGATTTTTCCACCAAAACAACCAAAAAGGACACCTATGGTGTTGGCCTTATCAAAAGAACATGAACAGAACCAACAAAAACTGAAAACCTCAAGACATGCCAACAACAGTGAAGCTGAAACCAAGTAAAGTCATGATCTTGGGAGAACCATCTGTGTGTGTGTGTGCGTGTGCGTGTGCGTGCGCGCGCGCGCGCGGGCGGGCGGGCGGGCATGCGTGCGTGCGTGCATGCGTGCGTGCGTGCGTGGGTGGGTGGGTGGGTGGGTGTGTGTGGGTGGGTGGCTGGGTGTGTGTGGGTGGGTGGGTGGGTGGGTGGGTGGGTGGGTGCGTGCGTGGGTGCGTGCGTGCGTGGGTGCGTGGGTGCGTGCGTGGGTGCGTGCGTGCGTGCGTGCGTGTGTCACTATTTAGCCCCTGAGAGTACTCCGAATTTGTGGTTGGAATTCCATTTATTTTTTTTAGCAGGGGATGTCCTCAGGACAGACCGGGGTTGTTTTATTCTGTTCAACCATCGGTACGATCCAGCCCGGGTTTTGGATGGTTTCCTGAAAAGGTTCGGATCCCTGCAAAGAGTGGGGAAGCTTGCCCTAAAACTTTCTCTTTGGGATGAGTCGGAAACTATCGGGAATTCAATCCCAAGGGTCCTTGCAGCTTCACAGAAGGCGCGAGCTCTGCGTAAGCAAGCATGGGGGCAAAGGGATTCGACAAATCAAAGGACTCGCACCTGGGATTCGGCCGAGAAAAGTGCATCGAGTCTCGATGGGTGCCATCAAAGAAGCAGCTTGCTCACCCCCACAGGGCTCGCTTTGTCTGTCCTCGAAGACTCGGTGGATTTCCTGTTGGTTAGCCCTGTCAAGCAACCTGTGCTGTGAATCCTCGTCTCAATCCCCTTTAGCCTTGAATGGATGGGTTGGATCAGGACTTGAGCGCAGTGCCTCTCGCAAATGGAAACGGGGGGCCCTGCCAAAACGTCCAATCCACCCATCCGAAGCACAGATTCGGGGTAATCTCAGGGGCTGAACAGAATGAATCCACCCTGAACTGTCCTGACATCCGCGAGTTTACATGGAAGTTCAACCACTAAACCAACCAAAAAGCCACCAAAAAGGCCTAAGCAACGGGCCGGTTCGCTGGTTGACCCGCCACGCCCACCTCTGGGCCGCCCTGCGACTGGCCGACTCTCAGGCTCCGTCGCCAGGTAGGACCCCAGCGACCTCGCGGGGAATCCGGGGGAGAGAAAAAAGGCCGGGGGGGCAGGGCGGGGGCTGAAAATCTGAGGGTCCTGCACCCTGCAATTGCACGGGATTTTCTTTGTTCGAAATCATCCCCCAAATATGTACCTTAAAGTAACCAGGTTGTATCTGGAAACCAGGAGGGGAGGTTGATTCATGGAGCCAGAGCCAGAGTGACTTGGCCGAGCATTCGGGTTCATTCAGGACCATCGTGGCCCCTCGAAAGCTTCTCTGGGTTCAGAGATTCTGCTGCCTTCCCAAATTGATATCCAACTTCCTTTTCGCGGTAGGGCCAACACCGCCCCGCTTTCGGAAGCCCAAAAAACTCGGCTTGCAGTCCCGACATCCAAGGCTGGCGGAACTTGGTTGACGTTGGAAGGAAAGCAACAATTTAAATTTTAGGATTTCCCACTAAACCACAATAAGCAAGAATGTAACATGTTTCCCAACAACAACCATGGGAACATCAACGGGCTTCCTATATTTCCAAGTGAGCATCACCTCGGAAAACTCGCCAAATCAATTGGCAACTGGAAAAACCAGGGAAACCATTTGTGGACATTTGTGGGAAAGGTTCCAGGGACACCTTGAAAAGCAAACTTTGCCAATGGGAACCTGACTTCTAAGCTCGATAGCCCCTATCTCCAGGAATGCGGGGAATGAGAGATTCCATCCCTCGTTATGCCATTGGCCCCAAAAAGTTGTATGCCCGGAGCCCTGCGACCCGGGCTCACGGAGCTAAGTTGACTTAGGAGATGGAGTTCCCCAAATGTTGACCAATTGACTGGTGGTGTTCATTGAACCATCACTTTGCAGAAAAAAGGGGAAATGGAGGAATGAGGAGACTTCCCATGGCTTTCAATCCCCAAAGTTGCGTGGTCGAAGCAGCTTCCACCGTGGAAGTACACCTTGCGATACCAGAGGTGATTCCCATGTTTATCTTTTGACAAGGGGACCCCCATGACGATTTTTTGTCACCAGGGGATTGACTCTCTTGGTATTCTAGAAGCTGGCAACCTAAATCCCAAGTTGCCACGACTTCCACTCATTCCGGTCCCTCCGGTCGCATTCCTTCCGGTCGCATTCCTTGCCCAGGTACTGCCACTTCGAAGACCTGGGAACCGAAACTGGGTTGTGCTTGATGGAAGGGGAAAGAAACAATTCTGGGGGGGTCCGCTCCATGGCATCTTCCAAATTCTGAAGTGACAATGACTCCCCGAAACAAACAAAATACACCAGCATAAGACCCGAGATAGCGAAAACACGTGCCAACGATTGCACGGCAGCACCTCTGACGGCATTGCTCCAAGAGCACCTCAACCAACACACCAAACAGCAAAGACCCCCCGATATCAACCCCGAACAGCACCCCCAAACAGCACTCCCTAAGCCCGTGACCGTCAATCTCGCAAAAATGCGCTCGGACCATCACCAGCACCTCGAACACACCCCGCATCCCAAAACAGCACCTGTGCCAGCACCCCAGACTGCCCCCCAATCTTGCAAAAGTGCGCCCGCACAGTCACCTGCATGCCCCCCTCCTCGGCCGTCAATCTCGCAAAAACGTGCCGCATCATCACCAGCAGCTCAAACAGCACCCCAAACAGCATCCCAAACAGCACCCCAAACAGCGCCAAGCAGCACCTACACAAGCACCCCAAACTGCACGACCCCTAGCACCCAGCTGTCAATCTCGCAAATCAGTTTCCTTGCAACGCAGTCGTGTTGCGGCTTGCCAGCCAGACCAAAATAGCATCTGACAAGGCAATCCCCCCGTAGTTGAGTCTTTGAGTTGCGAGAAGTTCCACTCGGCTTGTCGGTCGCCCTTGACAAAACACGCAATGGCACGTGAGGATTCCTTGGGTCGGGCATTGACGACGCATTTGATGATGTTCTCCATCTGTTGCCGTTTATTGCGCACGCAGCTCTCAAAGAAGCAACCTGTCTCATTTAGACACAGGGTGCGCGCGGCATCGCGCAGCAGGTTGTGCACATTGGATCGATCAACCATCGGGAAAGTCTTGCGTTCTCTTTCCTTGATCTTTGCAGTTTTGGTGATCTCACAGTTGCGTGAGCCTGCAGCTGCAGACACAAACTTCTTGAGCTTCAGATGCGGCTTAACATACCTGGGAATGTCAGTACATGACATGGTTGTGATCTGGAAAAACAAAAACATACTTAAATGTTGTGCGTTAAACTCTTGCGGCGTGACTCACGTGACGTAACTCATGCGCAACTGCCCCATAGGCAAACATCGCTTCCAACAATTCAACTCCTTGAAGTGCTACAACGCCGGGGCCATGTTTGGTGCTGCAGGCGTACCATTCAACGCAGAACAGCCTTGTTCTGTAGCATGGCTCTAAAAGGTGGGTGCCAATCGACATTCAGACGGTTGCCCATGAGAGCTTTTATCAACTCATCCACCTTAGCTGACTTGATGCCGGAACGGGCAACCGCAAACCGCCCCTACCCAAGGCCAACCGAACCGACCGGCAGAACCCGAACCGCGCTGCAGCGAACCGGGGCACGCTCGGGCTCTTGTTCCACTTACCCACGCAATATTGCCCTGTGTGGCCTCCGGAACACCTTGCCGTTCGATCCAGAACAAGCAACAGCTGCTTTCCCTGCCACAAAACTTTGCAACCTGCTTTTGGGGAGGGGGCAAAACGGCAAAAGCAAACAGGCCTTTGTCCCAGGTCCCAAGCCCTTGGGAAACACGGAAAAGGAAAAAGCAAAAGGCCTCCCCCTGTCTCAAATGGGTTGCTCTCTTTGCTTGTTCGGGGCGCAGGAAACGCAAGCAGCCCTGCCCCAAACCTTAGACACACCCAAATAAGGATTCGGACGACAACAGGGAACTCCCTGCCTTTTGGCTTCCATCGAAACTCACTTCCTAGGTGAATTGGAAAAAACAAGTCTGCCACCCAAATGGGAACTCAGGGGGGGGGGGGCTTCAGGGTACCAACTCAAACACACATGCCCACCTGCCCAAACAAATGTTGGTACTTTTGGTCTCCCTTTGAAACGTCATCTGACTTTATCGTCAGCATTTCTTGCAAAGTGTAAGCTGCACCAGATGCTTGAAGCGCCCACCCCTCGATTTCACCAAATCTTTAACCACCAAACTGACCTCTTCCTCCCAGAGGCTGTTGAGTTTTCGCTGAACCCAGGTGTTTGTTTTCTGGGCTCCGGGCTGCAGGAATTGCCGCAGCTGCTTGACGCTCCAGGCAAGGAAGCTCCAGGCGACCTACCATCGATGTACCCAAAAAAGGGTAGTAAAAAAGGGCAACTACTTGTTCCTCCCCCCCTCTCTCTCTCTCTCTCTCTCTCTCTCTCTCTCTCTCTCTCTCTCTCTCTCCCATCACTCTTTCTCTCTCTCTCTCTCCCATCACTCTTTCTCTCTTTCTCTCCTCTCTCTCTCTCTGTCTGTCTCTCTCTCTCCATCCCTCCATCCCTCCCTCCCTCCCCTCCTCCCTCCCTCTCTCTCTCTATGTCTCTGTCTCTGTCTCTGTCTCGCTCTCTCGCTCTCTCTCTCTCTCTCTCGCTATCTCTCTCTCTCTCTCTCTCTCTCTCTCTCTCTCTCTCTTTAAAATCAATCTGACAAATACGACAAAAGCAGGGGCTCCTGTAGTTTCAACTACCAAACCTGTAGTCTACGCAGCCGCTTTTCCAGGGTGCTCAGGTACTATGAGTTGAACTGCAAACCTGCAACAATTTGAACACACACAAAACAAGATGAAGTTGCCGTATCTTGGCATGGCCCAGTGTGTCATTAAAGAATGGTGGTGGCAGTTTGTATCTGCGTAGTCTTGGAACGTCACTGTCTTGTTCTTGTGTTGCTCCTGCTCCTGTAGTTGTGGCTCCTACTGTCTCTGCTGTAGCTGGTTCATTGTTTGCTCATGTAGTGGCCTGCGCTGATGCTGATACTGGTCTCCTGACATGTCGTGGAAGTTTAGCATGTGGTTTGTTGCTGCTGCACTTGCTGTAGTATACTGGAGCTCCCCTACTTGCAGGATCTCAGCTCCGCTACCACATTGAAATCAAACTAAACTGACAAATGCAACAATTGCAAGTGCTAGTATGGTTTCAACTAACAATCAAACCCGTAGTCTGCTATAAACCTATACTTCCAGGACGATCTCATGTCATCAATGTAGTATGGATTGAATTCAAGGCCTGCAGTAGTGTACAATACATTTGCTGTCTCTTGACATCTCTCTTTTTCTGTTTCTTTCTCTCTCTCTCTCTCTCTGCGCCTCTCTCTCTCTCTCTATATCTCTGTTTTGCTTCGGTGGTTGAAGGGCGATTTTAGCTGGTTTGGGATAAACCAGCTACATAAATATCATGGAACAGCGCGTGACTGGGAAGACTAAAACGGACCAAAAGTGGGAGGAAAAGGACTGTCTGTCCATTGCAAACCAAACCCCGTTGCGCTCTTCTTTGCTCATCTGCTCGCCGCTTTTTCTTTGTCGTCCTATGGGTCCATTTTCAGCCAGCTAAAGTGCCCGAAATGTCCAAAGCATCTAGAGGAAACTCATGGTTACCAAGAAGGTGCGAAAAAGAAACAGCTTCAAAGTTCCAACCAGTAACCTGTAAGGGAAGCTCAGGGAAACAAAAACCCGCCTCAACGGGGTTTAAACGAGCTGGACATTCCACGGCTCTCGCCATTTCGCACAAGAAGCTCGCCCGCCCAATGGATGTCTTTCAGGGTGCCCCCCAAGCTTGCCCAACAAACAAATTACGCACCCACCCTTAGTCTATTCTTGGGGGACTTACTCCTCTGCACATGAACATGGAACCCAACAAAAAGGTCCCTGAAAAGGAACTTCCTTTAAAAGGCGGCTTGTGTTTGGGGGATCCATGTTAATCTGTAGGGGAGTGGTTTCTTCTTAGGAGAATTGTTCTTTTCGATTTACCCAGCCCAGCTCCTTCATTTGAAGCTTTGGCGCCCTCCTTCCCGTTTGGTGACTAGTCCGATAATTGAAGCCATTGCTTAAAGAACCTCCTTGCAGAGATGGGAATCAGCCACTTGCTCTCCCAAACATGGAACAGGTGAATAAGCTCAGGTGATATTATTAACAGCATGCGGTGCTCTTTTTGGTGCTCGCTCCACCCCACAACCCTCACACATTCTCGTGGAACCCTCGTGGAACCCTGGTGGAACCCCGGTAGAACCCTGGTGGGACCCTCGTGAAACCCTTGTGAAACCCTCGTGGAACCTTGCCTCAAAGCCGCCCCGACCACTCCGAAGCCCATCTGCACTGAGACCCAAAGCTTTCAGCTTTTGAGAAAAACGATGGTCCAACGGCTCCCACCAGGAGCTCCCTGGCCTTTGTCTTGGGTAAGTTCATGCCTAAATGTGCCATCGCGAAATCCTGACACCATTTCCCGAAGTCAGGAAACCACCAGTCCAAGCCACCAATTAAGGGTTACCCCAACAACCCGAGCTGGGCGAAGAGGACTACAGGCCCGAGGAGCCCGTCAGCTGGATCTCCTACTTGGACTTCAACGCCATGTACCCAGCCGCAATGACGCTGCCCATGCCCAACGCTACGAGACGATCGCCCTGCCCGAAGAAGGCGCCGCAAGGCTGAGCTGGCTGCACGAGACGTGCCTCTCCGGGCTGGACTGGGAGTCCGACGTCGAGGAGGTGAGCTACCTGCTCCTCGTGGACTACGACTTTCCCGGAGGTGCACGACCACTTGGACTGGGCTCCCCCCGCGCGCATGAAGGTCGGGAAGGGCCTGTACGGCCCGCACACGGCGACCATGGCGGAGCGCCTCGGCATCTCCCCGTCCCCCTGCGAGAAGCTCGTGCCCTTCCTCGGCATGCACGTCAAGGAGGGCGCGGACGGCAAGCGCCTCAAGTTCTTGCGGGACGTGCTATGGCCCAGGGTCTGGAGGCTGCGCAGAGCCTACCGCTTCGCATGCAGCCCCTTCATGGCCGGCTTCATGGAGCTCAAGCACTGCGAGCGGAGGCAGCTCAAGACGGCGGGGAGCGTGGTCGCCGAGAAGGTGGTCAGAACGCCATCTTCGGCCGCTGCTGCATGAACATTCATGAGACCCTAAAGCTTAAGCTGTAGAAGAAGCAGGGACCCTCTACAAGCTCTACAAGCCACAAGCCTTCAAATCAAACCCAAAAAACACAACCACCACCAAAAACCTAAAACCACCACCACAGAACCTGCAAGGGACCACAAGCCTTCAAGTCCCAACAAGCAGGCTTTACAAGGGACCCCAAGATCGTCTTTCGCTGAGCTGATTATCCTCATCAGGAACGCCACCAATCAGCTCAGGTACTTCACGTCTGATCATGCAAGAAGGTGGCGTCCGACTCCAAGGAACAAGCAAAAACCCCAAAGACCCCTTTGGAGCAGGGGGCACACGCACACACCCAAAAGGGGGAACACAGGGCAACCCAAACACGAAACAGAAAAGGAAAAATAAAAAGAAAAGACCCCAGAAACTGAGAACAAAAAGGCAAAAAAGAGCAACATAAGCAAAAAGAGCAAAAAGAAAAAGAAGAAGAAAAATCGCCTTCGTCATTCCGCGTGACGGTTGTGGCAGCTTTTTCCCGTGCCTATCTGATGCAGATACAAGGTCCTGGTCAAGCTGGTAGAAGATGCCGAGGAGTGATCGCGTCCAAGATCGATCCCTCCTGCCAAGTTGAGGTCGGACAAGGGGCCTGCATCAGGAGGCATCAGATACGCCTGGCGGGACGGACAGAAAGGGGTCAAGGGGTGATACAAGTCTGGTGAAACATCTTGGTAAACAGTCAGTTAGAAACGGTCCTTGCAGTGCTTTTTTGGAGATCCGGTGAGGGGCAAAGTCAGCAGAAAAAGCTCAGTGGTAACAGTCACAACGGTCAGCGCTAAAGGTCAGTCGGTAAAGGTCAGAAGAAAAGGTCTGTGCATGAGGCAAATCGAATGCCCCGAAGGGTTCACGACACTGACCGTGGCTCAGAAGCAGTGCCGGCACACACTTGATGGAAGACATCGAAACTGCGAAGGCGCACCCCAAGCAACTGAAAGGTGAAAAGAGGAGTTTCGGCTCCAAGCAAGTCAGATCGTCTTTCGCTGAGCTGATTATCCTCATCAGGAACGCCATCAATCAGCTCAGGTATTTCACGTTTGATCATGCAAGAAGGTGGCGTCCGACTCCAAGGAACAAGCAAAAACCCCGAAGACCCCTTAGGAACAGGGGCACACACACGCGCACACACCAATTTTCGGGGCTCCTTAAAACGCCCCCAGCGAGCGCCCGCGCGTTGCCCCGTGTCACGGGCGGCTGGCGCCTGGCCGCTGGCCTCCAAGGGCGCCAGCAGCCAGAAGGAGCGCTCCGGGAGGTCCTGGCGGAGGAAAAAAGTCGACGTCAGTCGGTGGGTTGAGGGGTGGAGGGATGGGTGTGGAGTGTGGGGTGGAGTGGGGGCGAGAGCGAGAGTGTTTCAAGAGGGCGAGAGAGGGAGAAGGAGAAAAGGGAAGGGGGGGAGAGGGAGAGGGAGAGGGACATTTGGGGTCCAGCGATCTTTTGAGACCTACTGGGCACTCATTTTCTGCTGAACTTTTGGTCTCGCCAGCATTTTTGGGCGTGGTTTTGCTTTGAGGGGCCGAGATCGCATCGCACACGGCGCCTTTTGACAACGTGCTGGCACATCGCGGAAGCTCTCGTAAACCGGTTCCTTCAGTGCTCGTGGGGGTGAGTTGCCTGAGCCAATTCACTGTCAGGCACAGGTGTTCTTGTTAGTTTTGGTAGAAAAATAGATGGCGATTCCTGGTTTACCAACCATAGACACGAATGCGCAAGCAGTTGTGGCTGCAGCAGCAGACGGTGCGCATTAAAATTAGCATTGCCCGGGCGGTGGGAATCTGGATTACTTTTGACCATGGTGGTTGACAAGGACAAAAAGACTTGAAAGGAGCCCAAAAGCGCCATTTCGCCATGTCCCAGCGGGATCACAGAATCCGGAATTGTAAACCGAAAGCAGATATCACATGATTCAAAACAAAAGTCCGCCGGGGTTTGGTCTGGGGTCGACGTGTCAAGCCCTTCGAAACCAACCCCTCGTGTTCCGGCCCGTCTTGGCGGCTTTCGGAACCATCACCCACCTTCGAGCCTGGTGGGTGGGTCTTTTCAACGGTCTCAGTGGGTCTTTTCGTTTTCCATTAAAAAGTGACATCCTCAAAAATGTCCTCACTTCATGGTCGCTCTTGACCGGACACTACGAAAAGTCATTGAGAGAACCTCACTTCCTGTGTAAATTGGAAGAAAGTCCTGAGCAACCGGCAACCCCTCAACATCACTAGGGGCCAATTCTGCTTTCAGAACTCCCATCGGTTCTGCTGACACGCTCCCTCTTGTAAATTTCTTTCAGGATCGCAGCTTCATCGAATCGCTCCCGAAGAACCAGCAATCCGACATCCCAATGGTTTCCCGAATCTGGTGCTGAGAAATGGAAGAACCCTCTAAACCATCCCTTGCTGTCTTCGAAAGGGAATCCCAAAACAGTTCATTTTGTTTCTCCTGCCCTACCTTTTGCACCAGCAAAATGGTTTTGGGCTGGCGTTTTCGGAGTCTCCAACTGGTCTCCCTTTCTTCCATTTGCTTAAGCCCCCAGGGGACAAAAACACATATTTCCAGTAGCGATAGATTCCCCTTAAAACCAACAAGGGAAAAACACAACATCTCATTTCAGCAACTGCAAGCTTGCAATTGGGTACCTGCACCTTTTGGCAGAAAATAACATTTCAGCAGCCAACCTGTCGAAAATTTGGCTGTGGGTCAAAACCAAAGGTGCCATTTTGGAGAACCACCCATTTTAGAACCTATTTTAGTGGTTGGATTGAATCCGATGTTCACTCAAGGCCAACCGAGTTGGATGTTGAAAGGCCCATGGCCAGTCCCGCCTGGTCCCGGCACACCTCAACATCCTCTCTGGGGATCCACAGGCCGAAGTGGTCCTATCGCGGTCGACCGCGCACAAATTAACCCGCCCCCGCCCCTCGTCAGAGCAGCAGCAACCCAGAAAATTCCCCAAGCTAGACCCCCAAAACGACGTGCATGTATCTATATGTATATGTATTTACTATGATTATCATGATTGTTGTTGTTGCTATTATTAGTCTCATTAGTGATGCAATAATCATTGCAATTCCTATTTGAACTATGACTATTATCATTATTAGCATTGTTATTGGTGATATTATTAATAAGGGTAGTGGCTTTAGTATTAGTAGTAGTAGCAGTACTATTATCATGTTCATTGTCATTATTCCTATCATTGTCATTATCATTCTCAGTATCACCACTAGTTCTATTATGATTATGATTATGCTGAGTGTTATTACTGTCATTATTACTAACATTATAATAATTACTATTATCAATATAAGCATTATAAATATCATTGTTGATATTGTTATTACTAAGTATGCTTATTGTTATTGTTGTTTGTAATTATTACTATCATTATCGTGTTTGTGATTGTTATTAGCATTGTGATTGTGATTGGTCTTGTTGTTATTATGATCAATATTACTGTTAGTATTATCAGTATCAGTATTCTTATTAAATATCATTATTATTATTAGTAGTAGTAGTACCATGTGTAAGGGCCAACATTATCATCATGGCACCATGAGATTATTTGGTTGAATCGTACCCAAACCTCATTTATCATTGTCTAACCACCTCTACGGCAACTTGCTCAGCTGACCATCTGGATTTAAGCTTGAGTGACATGGCTGCGGGTCAAAAATAGGGATATAGGTTCACATGTTGAGAAAAACCTGAGGTCCAATCCCTGGTGAATGTTGACCCATACGAGTTTGTCGTTTTTTAGGTGACCATCCAAAATTGTCGAAATAATGTTAAAAACAACACGGAAAACGGGTACCAACTCAAAGAAGAGACAACCCATACCGACATGGTGATGTCCAGCGTACACGTCACTGGAATGCATGGAAAGCCCATGGTGAGTATGGCTGCTATTCATGAGTCGTTGATGTTTACCTGGATGTGACTTCGTGTTTCTTTGTGTTTTGAGGGTACCCTTTTCACCCTTCCTTTAGGAAAGCCGAAGGAAAATCCAGCCATTTATATGTGTATTTATATATGTATATTTATATATGTATATATATGTGTATATATATATATATATGGGGGGGGGGAACCAGTTGGACACATACCCATCCGCTTCAGGCGAGTGAGGCTGGTACATGGATAGCCACCCCTGGCCTCACTTCCGATCAAGTGGATTGAGCCAAAAAAAAGTCCGAACTCTCGACTTACCCACCAACATGGTCACCCAACATGTGGCTCAAGTCGGCGCTGGGAGTGAGCACTGCAGAACTTCGGCACGTGCTGGGCTTACTAGAGGGGGCACCGGACCTCCCCTTCAACCATTGCACTGTCGGAAACCATTGAAAAGCCACCTTTGGAGGTTCCCTTGCAGGAAGAAATGGCTCGAACAATCAGGAACCACTTTCTACGGGAGGGCCACGTTCGGCCAAACGCCTTTTTAGACCCATCGCGCATCGAGCCTCGCCTTGAAGTACATGAGCGCCGGCTGATCCAAGAGCTCGTGGAGAGGGCAGCTCCTCACGTAGCGCAAAGCTCCAGGCCCCTACGTCCAGTTGCTGATTTGTCTTGCGAAACCTCTGGGAAAAATCGGGAAAAATAGGTCCCAGCTTGTGGAAATCGATTCCCTTAAAAACCGCAAATAGGTTGTGAAATCGATTCCCTTTAACACCGCAAATGAACTTTGAAGGAACTCGGAGGAGGGGTCTCAAGAGGCTGGAGAGAAACAAAAGGGAACATCCCATGGTCTCGTCTTCTTTTCCGGGGTACCCCGTTTCCTTTTAGCACGCATGTCCCCCGCCTCTCGCATCGCGAGAGCTCCAGGCACATCTGGCTCCAAGCCTGGCGACCAGGGAGCGAATCGAGTCTGTCTGCCTTAAAAAAAAGCCGACGCCCCCGTGAATACTCTAGGGGTACCATTGGTCTTGGCCCACCGCCAAACAACTTCTAGCCAATACTCGTGGAAGTGGACAGGGGTCCTTTTCAATATTCTAGGGGTACCTTCCATTTCCATTCTTTCCAGGGATCCGGATCTTTCTAGAAAACGTCCGGAAACCCAGGGAAAACGACTAGTTTTTGAAACGAACGATGGTTGGAAGGAATGGAGAAGGAGTCAACCCCTAGAAATACACACTGTTCACTTTTCAACCCCGAAAAAGGGTATTCCAAAAACAGGCAGGTAGGAGTCATAGAGTCACAACACTCCGAATTCAACGTCCGCAAAGAGAGCGAAACGGTGGACCCAAAAAGAAGCAACCAATTGAGCAGGGAGGGGCCACAAAATCTGCAGGCCCGTCTAAACCCAAACCAGATGCTCATTTCAAGTGACGGAGAGCGAGGGCACCCGGGTAGACTGAACCGCCTTGTTGATTTCCGCAAACGGTTGAAACTTTGGGCGACGTGTTCTAGCAAACATAAATTAGACCAAGAAACGGGGGCGTCTTGAAGAGATGGGTTCCGCAAAATGTTGCTTCCCTTGAAATACCCACCCAAATAATGGTTGGCTTCAACGACCCACCCCAAAAAATGGTAGGGGTATCCTGTTGCTTCCCTTCACCTACAAGTACCCACCCCCAAAACAGGCGGTCTCCTTCAAATACCAGTACCACCCCCCCCAAACAAAAAGAAGAAAAAGAAGAGAAAGCGGCTGGGCCCCCCCCAGATTTGCGCGGCGAAAAGCAGGCAGAAACAAAGAAACTCCCTTCTAATACAAGTGCCGTACAAGTACCACCCCAATAAAAAAAGTGGTTGGCCCTCCCCCCAAACAAAAAAAAATGCGCGGCCAAAAAGCAGGGACAAAAAAAACTCCCTTCCAATACAAGTATACCACCCAACAAAAAAACCGCAGGTGGTTGGCCCCCCCCCCCCCAAATTTTGCGCGGCGAGAAAGAGAATAGGAAAAAAAAAGTGGTTGGCCCCCCCCCAAAAAAAAGAAAAAATCCGCGGCAAGAAGCGGGGAGAAGAGGAGAACACAACTCCCCGCGGCGCAAATCGCCCTCCGCTGCTCGAAGGCCTTGAGGTCGCCGAGCTGCGCCTCCGAGGCCTCCAGCGCGCCCGCGCTCGCCACCTGCGGGGGCCCGGCAGGCCGCGCCAGCGGTTTTGACGGGGCGGGGGGGGGGGGTTTTGGACGGGAGGGGGGGGGTTTGATGGAGGGTTTGGGGGGGGTTGACGGAGGGTTGGGGGGGGGGACCCAAAATCTCCGAAGTTCTCCTAAAAAATCCGGGGTCTTGACGGGGTTTTGCCGGGGGTCTTGACGGGGGAAGAAGGGGGAAAGGGGGGTAAAGACAGTCCTCCCGGTGCCAGGAACCAACATGGTGCAAGGAAAACGGAAACAGGAGCCCGAACCCCGAAACGTCAGGTTCGATGGAACAGAAGAAAGAGTGATTTCCCTTACCCACTGGGACTCTCTGCACCAATTGAGACGTGGTGAGACTTGAACCCATTCTAGGGGTTGATTCCCCATTCTTTTCAACCATCGCTCTTTTCTCAAAAACCAGCTGTTTCCCCCAGGATTTTGGGTGGTTTTCTAGAAAGATCCGGATACCTGGAAAGAATGGACATGGAAGCTACCCCTAGACCGTCATGATTAGACTTAGGCCCCGTTACGGAATGTATATTCTATTGGTTGCTCCCTTTGAGTCACTGGAAACATGTAAAATGTATCCTAAGTTCAACCAGAAAAAAACATGCTTTTGTTTTTTGTTTTGCCACCTTTTGTGAGAAAAATGGCGACCCCCTTAAAAAGGAATCCTTCACTACGAGGGGGTCGAACATTTTTCCACAAAAGGTGGCACAAAGACCCCCCTGGGAAAAAAATGGCTCGGGATCCTTTCAAGCCACTCGTCCACCTCTCGCGGCTCTGGCCGCGAGCGCGCCTTCACCTCTACCGGCTCCGCGAGTCCTGGACACGAGAGACAAGCCCTGCTCTCTTTGCTTTCTGCGAAGCCCTGCTAAAAGTTGTTGACTTTCTAGTGTTTAGGGTTTAGTGGGTTTAATACGGAAAACCCTAAAAGTTGGCGAAAAGTGAAAGTCCTGACTCCCAAGCAAAATGCACCAAAGCGCTCTTCCAGATGAAACCTGGGTTGGTTTGGGAAAGTTTATTTGGGGTCCATTTGGGTCTATTTGGGATTTTGGGTCATGTCCCTCGGGTGTAATCCCGGGGTGTATTAGGAAAATCCATATTCATTGGTGGTTTGGGTTGGTGGTTTAGTGGTCCGGGGCGGTTTACCATTTCAGAATTAAGGGTTCAAATCTGAAGGTCGGACCCCCGCAAACTGGTGTTCTCCTTTTGGTTTCCCTGTGAATCCCTACCAATCGAGGGCGACACTCAAAAAAAAAAAGACAGACCGAATGCCCAGAAAATCAGAACGGGGATGACTCAGGTCCTTCCACTCGTTTCACATGTCCTGCTTCTTTAGAGAAAAAGAGAGAGAAAAAATAGAAAAAGCTCCCCTTCCTCACCTTCTCCATGACACCATGCTCTTCTCTGCCTCATGCTGATATTTGAGGCCTGCTGGGGTTACAAAAACAAGAGACACCGGAAGGAAAACCACCGCTTTTGTTAGGCCCCCGATTTTGACTCTACCCCATACCCAGTTGGACTGGGGATGGTAGGAGTGAACGCTTCGCAATTCTTTAGCCCCTGTGTCCACGCATCTGGTGAGAAAATGACCATCGATCGATGAATGCAAAAGCCACGAGTCGGTGAGTCTCCGAATTGCCAAAGCAAAAAGGCAGGCTCGTACCCCAGGTCCCACCAAAATAGCCCGGTGCTCAAACCAAAACTCGGTTGTTCAGTGACCCTGGAAAAAAAAGGGAACCCTTTTTGGGGCTTGGACCATTTGTAGTGGGGCCGCCCCCGCAAAAAAGGGAAAAAGAATGGGTGCCACCGAACAACTGAGAAAGAATGGCGAACTTCAGACCTCTGCGCCAACCAAAGCAACAAACACCCACCCGATCGGTGGGTTTCACAGAGCCAACGACCGATCCCGAAAGTGGACCGGGATCCCGAAAAACGGGCGAAACACAAACCAAACAAAAAAAACATCGCAAAGCCCCGGCGGCGGTTGCAAACCCCCCCCAAGGGGCCCAGATCCCGATCCATCGACCCCGGATCGATCGATCCGCTCCAGGGGGCAGAAGGAGGAAGCTCAAGGCGCTCCCGGGCACCTCGTGAAACGGCGAGTTGTCCGGAACCCAAAAGAAATCGATGCGCGGGGAAAGACATGGAAAAAAACACCAGGGAAGCTCCCCCAAGTTGCTTTTTGCCTACATGAACCTCCCCCAAATTGCTAAATGAGGGGGAAAAAAGCGGGGGGAGGTGGTGGCATCTCCAAGTGTCCTTTGTCCGGCCTGTTTGAACGTATCAAACACGGGGCACTTCGGCTCCGCGCCTCCAAGAGGAGTCCGAAAGCCAAAGGAATCCATGGCTCGCTAGGGATCGGAGCCCCCGAAAGGATGGGCTTTGAAGGGAGGCCCAAAGGAAATCCGGCAAATGGCCATGGGGCAGCACCTACGTCTCCATTTTGGGGTGGATGAACATGAGCGGTCCAAGTACCGAAAAGACCGCCCCCATGGAATGTTTCCAGGTCGGAAAATTGGACCCTGACTCAGAAAAGGTGACTTCGCGCCTCCTCCGGCAACAGCAGCCCCAAAGACCTCCTCACAGACCGATCGAGACAAAACCCTCGTCAAATGGCTGTGGCTCAAAAAGTGGAACCCATGGTTGGGCCGCGATGGAGACAAAGACCAAAATCTGCGTAACCCCTTTTGAGCCGCACCCAAATGGGAGTGGTGAAAAAGTTTTCACCGTCCGGGACCGGCCACCGAGAAAAATCGGGTCACCCCAAACTTGCTGGCGCGATAGGTAGGGAATGCGACCGGGTGTTGGAATGAATCCTTAGGGGACTCCCGAATCAAGGAAACCAAAAGGGATAGTTTATTGGTGTCATTCCCAACCAGCAAGCAAAATGGGTTGCCCTAACACCTGCATTCTATATCATGGTTGCTTAACTTTGACCCATACCTAATTGATGTCACCGAGAAAACAAAAAAAGAAAGAAAAATAAAAACATACCCACTGCAAAGGGGGCACAAAAGGTACAATTCCGGGCATCCGCTCTGACAACCTAGGCATGGTTTCTTGCCAACATGGGGCCAGCTCCTCTGAACCAAGCATGTGGTGTTTCTACCGTGGTCTTGGTAGAAGGCGGGGATGCAAACCGTCCCGATTGCAAAACCATGCTGAGGTCCAAACGATGGGCAAAAGAGGCCATGCTTGAAGATGGACATGTGGAACGAAAAACCCCGATATCTGTGGGGCGCTCACAAAACCAGCAGAGCTTCTCGGTCTTCTCCGGTTTACCATGGCCAGAGTTTCACATGGAACAGCGCCTTCTTTGAATTGCCCCAGCCATCCACGAGTCCTCGGGCTTGAAACGAATCCAGCTGTTCAATACATTGTCCGCGAATGGCGCCGTGTCTGCCCCAACCATTTGCACCGGAAAGCCCTGAGGAACGGCCGGAGTATATCAAAATCAGCCCTGAAATACCGTGGAAGGACGAAATCCTGCACCACCATTCAGAAACCCTGATGTCTGCTTTGATTCCCCAACGTAAATACCGCATCAAACCGTTATGGCAGAAAAACAAACAAACAAAAAACTTGGATTCATTCGTGGGTGCGAAATGGAATTGGCAACCATCCACATGCCACATACCACCGGGTCAGAACTGGCTCACAAAGCCCAAGGTGCCCAGGTCTGAGCCAAGCATCCCTGCCAGGAAGACGTCAGAATCTCACTCCGGCTTTGTACAGTCCAAACCTGGATCGCCAGTTGCGATCGTTCTTTTTCCATCCAATTTACCCCAGAAACCAGCAACAGTGACCGGAAAAAAAAAGAAGGCTGGAATGAAACCTCACAAGGCCCTCGATCTTCCTTTAAACAAAAGAGACCAGTTCTCTGGGTTCCAACGACCAGAGGCTGGTGTTTCAGCCGCAATTTCTCCAACCAGTCTCCCCGAACCTCTCCCCTCTGACCCCCTCTCCTGTCGCCCAGCACCAGCCGGTGCACCCAGAACCGGACTCCGGGCCCTCCAGACCCTCCGGGCCCGGCAGTCGGGGCCGCGAGGCACCGGGGCAGACGCCTGAGCTCGCTGAGACCTGCCTCACCCCTCTCTGTTTTCAGAAGCCCTCAAAAGTTGCGGGTTTTTTCCTATTGGGAAAAGGAAAAAACAACCTTTCGAACCACCTAGCCTTTTCAGACGCCCTGAACAGCTTGGGTTATGGCAAAAGATCGATCAACTGAAGACATATCTACCACCCGAAGGAACCGGATCGCTCGGAACCGGATCAGTCGCAAGGTCGCCCTTCGGCGCAGGAAAGGGGCGACCAATTGGCGGGGTGGTTCACCCGGAACCTCGAGATATCTTCAGCTTCCCCCCCAAAAAAACAGATGAACGGATGCGCTTCTTGAAGCAAGCCGAGGGAAGAACCTAGCACCATACTCACCAGAGCGGTTGCTTGAGGCTGGTCACCAGAGGCCTGAGATCGACACGTTGAAGGTAGATCGCAAGTCCTTTTGGGAAACCGGGGGTGAGTAAACCGAAATGGGTTGCAATCGGAACTTCTTCCATCCCCGGTGTTCACCCTGCGGTTGTTCGAAATGTCGACCCAGGAGACATGGTCGATTGGGGGGGGGTTGTGCCTTAGAACCACTCACTTTTGAGAGATACGACCACCCACCTTTCACTTTCGAGGGAAGTGCACCTTCAGATATGTCTGGGTGATGAAACTCATGCACATTTCCCCTTGGTCCTGTTCACCGGCATGGCTTACCAGTTACGACTCTTAGACATGGGGCACGGACCTCTGCCTCCCGAGATCTCTCCACAGATCTCTAAATGGGGGGGGGGGTCCAGAAAAAAACTAAGGATTATCCTTGCTGTTAACCCCGGATTGAGCAGTGTCCCCTTGTAGTGGTTGGATTCAGACCACTTTTGGAGGGGTCCCCACCAACAGCTTCAGCCAACAACAGTCTCAGCCAACAACATAGCTCAACATCATTCACCTCAAATCGTGGGCTGTGCTTTGGACTTCCTTTTATATAAGACACTTCGCAAGATCTGGCTATAAAATTTATCCGAGTACCACCTCATTGGTGGACAAGACTCCTGCAAAGGCCCCGGGACGCAGGCAAATTCAAATTTGTGGGCCGTTTTCACACCCGCACACCATAAGGCTATGAATTTTTCTTTGGGACCCGAACTGGTGGACGTCAAAATTCGGTGGGGACTTGTGCCCACCAACCACTTTTTGGAGGGTTCCAACTCTTAAAATTCCTTGCCAGATGGGCCCATGTGGCCATGGGTCAAAATCCCGTACCCCCAATGAACATCCCAATCCCGACTAAAATAGGTTCTAAAATGGGTGGTGAATTCACCTACCAACCAAAATGGGATCCCAAAACGGTTTTGACAACCACAGCCTTGTGGCGCGCGCCCGCCACGCGTTCTTTCGGCGCCTCACCAGGTCCTCCATCTTGTGCAGCGCGATCTCGTCGTCGGAGCGGCCCTTCCGCCGTTTGGAGGTGCGCCCTAGGCCGCGCAGGGGTCTCCAAAAAACCGCTGAAAGGATAAAACCCAAAGATCACCTGGGGTTTGAAGAAAAAAGATTCCATTTAGGGCCCCCAGTTTTCACCACGGGTTCACTTTTCCCATGATGGTTGAAGCATCAGCTTTTCAGTGGTCCCATGTAAAGGACCCTTTGATCAGCCCCCATGGACCCTCCTTCCGGCGAATCCATGGAAGCTCTCACCCCGAAATGGATTCCTTGCCGTACATCAGATGCCTTCCGGGGGCTTCCGGCTGCTCGCCAAAATGAAAGCTCCCTTTGCAGTTCAAAAAAGCTACCCCGGAAAACGAGGGGAAGACGTGCCGAGGAAAAATAAAACAACTGCACCTCCCTTTGTGCCAGGGAAATCTTTGGGACTGATGCCGCACCTTTGGCTGTGTCTCTTGAAATCCAAGCCACCCGTCGATGGGGATGTCGAATTAGTTGGACCACAGTGTTGTTTTTGCTTTTGGTGTTTGGATCTGTTTGTGTTTTGTTTGGTAGGCTGCAAAAAGAACGCTTTTTGCAAGCCCATAGCAAGAGTTGTACAGCTAAGGATTTCCCTTAGTGCCCCCTTGGAAGCTGCGACTGCACAAAAAGGAGAGCGGGCCAAGGAACATTTCTGGGAGGGCAGGTTTGTCAGGGGTGTGTGTGCGGGTGTCCCCCCCCCAAAAAAAAGTGGGCACCCCCAAAAAGCTTCTCAAGGAAGCCGGAACCCAAGGCTCTGCCTTGACCCAGGTGATCAAACTGATACCCGCGGCCTTTAAGCTGAGGCGCGAAGTCCTCACAAGTTGAAACTTGACTCTTGCAGGGCGTTTCTCCAAATGCACCCACCTTTTGGTTGGGAGATTTGGAGAAACCAAGAAACCAACTGTAGAATGGTCCTCTGAATTCGTGGGTTTTTCCTTTTACTTGAAAAACCTCTTGAAATGGTCCTCTGAATTCGTGGGTGTTTTTTCCTTTGAATGGTCCTAACTACTTGGAAAAACCACTTGAAATGGTCCTCACTTGGAATCGCCAGAGGAACCCCGATGGCCATGGGGCCCCCGCGGCCGGAAGCCGCATCGATGAGGCCCCGGTACTCCTGACGGCCTGTGACCTGCGCCGGGGCCAAAGGGGGAAGCTCATTTTATGTTATTTTGTGTGTGTGTGTTTTTTGATGGGTGGTAATGAAAACAAAGAAGCTACAGGAAGAATAAATAGGCTTTTGGTAATGGGTGGTACAACCACTAGGTCCTCCAGTGGAGAGGTTAGAAGAAAGGTACCCGACTTTGTTCTCTATTCTGTTTAGTAGGTTGAAACCCTCCCAACCAAAAAAGGGGCGAGAAAGGGCCCGATCCTGGGGGACCTAGACCAAGAAGCTAAAGGAAGGCGGAATTCGTGTACTGGAGGTTGCATAAAAACGTTCGCGGAGAAGAAAAAAAAAAAGAACACTCGAAAGATGTGGCCGGTTCCCACGACGACACATGGGTCAGGCGTCACTGGAATTCCAACCGCAAGTGGCAGTTTACAAGTTGCGGTGCCAGTAAAAATGAGACTGGGGGCCCCCTGTTGAAGCAACCATGTTGGGGTCAAAAAAGATTCGGACTCTTGAAACTCAGCCTGAGCCGAGCTTCCGCGGATCAAAAAATCACGAAGGTTTCCGCAGGACATGATTTCAGCCCCGTCCTCCAAGTTTCAGTGTGGGGAATTGGCATTGTTTTTCATCCAACCAAACCAACAGCGGACTGCCAATAGTCAGCTCATTCTGTTTGGGTAAACTCGAAACCATGCTTTTCTGGGCTCTCCTTAGATCCGCCAAAACATGGTTTGTGATTTAAATGGAAACCCAACCACCAAACCAAACCTAACAACCTAATAAGAACCGTGCTGGACACCGCCGAGTCTGAGCGACTTCTTCGCCTTCTCTTGGAACTTCACAGTCCCGCTCACCCCGCGTCAAGCGAGCCAAGCGAGCCTTCAGGTGGTCGTCCAGGATCCCCATGTCATGCAGCGCTTCGCCTAATGCCGCTGTGGACTTCTCTACCCTGCTCTTACGGGCCAAACCTGGAAACTAGGTGGTGAGGCGGGGTTGTAACCACGTCAAACTTGAATAATTAGACATGCTGTCGGGATGAACAAAGTAAAAATCGTCTGTGTTATACATGCTTGCTCGCTGTTCCATAAGATCTGTCATTGTTACCACTCCTGCTGGCGGTTTCTAAAGAGAACGACAGGTGGTTGGAGAATGGGGAAGCAAACCTTAGAACTTTGGGACTTTACCCCAACGGCCAGGCGGCCAGGCCCTCTCAGCCCACCCTGCAACCTTGCTGGTTCTCAGCAATGAGGGAATGATCTCCATATGGTTTCCTTTGACTAGGTCCTCCAGTGGAGAGGTTAGGACTCAGGTCCATTCGGCCGAAAAAAACAACCAAACTGCCCGACTGAAACAGCCAAACCCTGCCCCCCCCCCACCCCCACCCCCACCCCCACCCCCACTTTCGAGGGGCTCTGAGAATAGGGGTCCTCTACAGTTGGCATTCCTTCTTTCACTTGAAGCTTCAAACAAGAACCCAATGGGTCCATCCTCTGGAGATGTCTAGGTCCTCCAGCAGAGAGATTAGTATAAGGGTACCAACTTTTTTCTGTAGTCTGTTTTAGTAGGGGAACCCTCCCCCCAAAAAACGGGCAAAACTGAAACCTCCCCCCCCCCCGGTAACCCCGTCACCCCCGGTGTCGCTTCCGCCCAAAGCCGCCGATGCTTTGCTGTGGCTCCCCGCAGGCCCACAGCGCCGCAAAGTCCTTGGCCATGTCCTGGCCGCGGCGAAGTATTATCCATTTCTTGGCACATCCATTTCTTGGTGCCAACCTAAAAATCCCCGGCCAATTCGAAACTGGTTTTGCTCTCCAAGTGAGAGAGGCCCACTAAAACATGGCTGTGGGTCAAAAATGGGTACCCAAATGGAACCAAGGACTAAAACCTGCGGTCCAATTCCTGGTGGTTAAATCTTGACCCATACTCATTTCTTGGTGCCAACCTAAAAATCCCCGGCCAATTCGAAACTGGTTTTGCTCTCCAAGTGAGAGAGGCCCACTAAAACATGGCTGTGGGTCAAAAATGGGTGCCCAAATGGAACCAAGGACTAAAACCTGCGGTCCAATTCCTGGTGGTTAAATCTTGACCCATACTCATTTCTTGGTGCCAACCTAAAAATCCAATTCGAAACTGGTTTTGCTCTCCAAGTGAGAGAGGCCCACTAAAACATGGCTCAAAAATGGGACCCAAATGGAACCAAGGACTAAAACCTGCGGTCTGGTGGTTAAATGACCCATACTCATTTGGTGCCAACCTAAAAATCCCCGGCCAATTCGAAACTGGTTTTGCTCTCCAAGTGAGAGAGGCCCACTAAAACATGGCTGTGGGTCAAAAATGGGTACCCAAATGGAACCAAGGACTAAAACCTGCGGTCCAATTCCTGGTGGTTAAATCTTGACCCATACTCATTTCTTGGTGCCAACCTAAAAATCCCCGGCCAATTCGAAACTGGTTTGCTCTCCAAGTGAGAGAGGCCCACTAAAATATGGCTGTGGGTCAAAAATGGGTACCCAAATGGAACCAAGGACTAAAACCTGCGGTCCAATTCCTGGTGGTTAAATCTTGACCCATACTCATTTCTTGGTGCCGACCTAAAAATCCCCGGCCAATTCGAAACTGGTTTGCTCTCCAAGTGAGAGAGGCCCACTAAAATATGGCTGTGGGTCAAAAATGGGTACCCAAATGGAATCAAGGACTAAAACCTGCGGTCCAATTCCTGGTGGTTAAATCTTGACCCATACTCATTTCTTGGTGCCGACCTAAAAATCCCCGGCCAATTCGAAACTGGTTTGCTCTTAAGTGAGAGAGGCCCACTAAAACATGGCTGTGGGTCAAAAATGGGTACCCAAATGGAACCAAGGACTAAAACCTGCGGTCCAATTCCTGGTGGTTAAATCTTGACCCATACTCATTTCTTGGTGCCAACCTAAAAATCCCCGGCCAATTCGAAACTGGTTTGCTCTCCAAGTGAGAGAGGCCCACTAAAATATGGCTGTGGGTCAAAAATGGGTACCCAAATGGAACCAAGGACTAAAACCTGCGGTCCAATTCCTGGTGGTTAAATCTTGACCCATACTCATTTCTTGGTGCCGACCTAAAAATCCCCGGCCAATTCGAAACTGGTTTGCTCTCAAGTGAGAGAGGCCCACTAAAACATGGCTGTGGGTCAAAAATGGGTACCCAACATGGCTTGCCGGGTAAATGGAACCAAGGACTAAAACATGCGGTCCAATTCCAGGTGGTTGAACTTTGACCCATACCCATTTCTTGGTGCCAACCTGGGTGCCAACCTAAAATCCCCCTCCCTGCCTCGACGGTAAAAGGCAAGGGGGTTAATAGAACCGCCTTCGTGTAAAAGGGGGTTTGAAGGGGCACGGCCAAACCGGCGGCGAAACGGCGAACGGCGTATGGAGAGCCCAGAGGTCGAAGCACCCAGCGGGTGGGGCGCTTTTAGGTTGGACCCCGCCGGCACGCATCTGGGTTTGTTTCCTTCTGGCTTTCCTTTGCAACCCAAGGTTGAGGTTGTGGCAGGTGTGGTTTACTTGCTGGTGCGATGGCTAGGAAATGAGACATGCAATGACCCGTATGTAAACCGTCCAACTGGTGGTGTCCTTTTTCTGGGGAGAAAAGAAGCCAGGGTCCCTTTCAGTACTTATCGCGCCAGCAAGTTTAGGGGACCTCCAGCATGGATTTCGGCTTTCCTTGTGGCTTTCCTTTGAAACCACAAAGTTTGGAACCCCCTAAACACACACACACACACATACACACATACACACACCTGGGACCTATGGTTCCCTTAGAAACTTCCTGGCCAAATGACCACAGGTACCTTCTCCCATGTGGGAAAGTCATCATAGGGTTGCCATCCCCCGCATCTGCCCAATTGGGAGCTTGCTTCAAAAGGAGGACAAGAGGAAAAGAAGCCCCAAACCCATCTAGATCATGGCCAGCCTGGTCCAAAGAATAAAAACTCGCCCACTCTGTTGCTCGGATACCGCCAAAAATGGCGCCAGAGCTAGGCTTCCCTTCCACGCGGAACCGAAGGGGAGTCAAACCCCTGCCCCGTTTCTGCTCAAGGATCCGAAGGGATGCGCCCAGGATCACGCTTCTTAACCCCTCCCAGGAACCTGACGTTCTTTTAGGTCCTGGTTTGGAGCATCTTCCTTTTAAAGGGACCCCTGTGAGGTTCCAGGTGGAAGAGTAGAACAGAAGCCACATGCGGTCTTTTTCGACCTTCTGACCGAAATAAGGGATCCCAAAAGAAATCTTCATGGGTCACACCGCCCAAAACAAAGACAACCTTGCCCAGATTGGATGCCTTGTCTATCCGACTGGTGCACCATGCATGGGAAACTCCCGTTTGCTGCGCCCCTGGGCCCCGCATTTGCTCCCCAAAACCTGTAATGTTCCCAAACATGCTCCACGGATTCCTTCCCAAACATGAGCCAAGCCATGTTGCCTGGCCGCTGATTGGACACCTCCATGTTGTCATCGTGAGCTTGTCCCTTAAACCACTCGTGTCTAAAAGTCCTCGTTCCCCCAAAAAAGTGGCGGCGCTAAGTTCTCCTGTTGGTGTCACGGTAAAAAAAGAGAAAAAAGAAAGAAAGACGGGGCTACGGCGCATGCCCCTAAATACCACTAAGTAGGGAACAAAGGAAACCAAACGCAAATTCCGCATGGTGTTTGGCTGGTTTACTTGCAATTTTGGTGGCAAAACCACCGTACTCAACGCCCCAAAGAACCGACGACGAAAAACCCCACGCCGCTTTTCGGCGACAAAAAACCCGCAGCGGAGCTCTTTGCGCCTTCCTGGGCATGACGGGGCCCTCCACAACCCCCAGGTGCTCCTCGAGCCGCGGGATCCAAAACAGGCGGAAACAGGCGAGGCGCGCGTTTTTTTTTGGGAGGGACCTGCACAATGGGCTCCGTGTTTCCTGCTGGTTTCCCTTTAAAACCAACTGAGCAGTCGGAATCCCCCCACAAAAATGGCATCCTTGTTGCTTTTGGTCCTCTTTGGAATCAAGGGAAAAGCTGGAATCGCCAAGACAAATGGCTTCGTTGTTCCTTGTTGGTTCCCTTTAAAACCCACCAAGAAGCGCATCCCCAGCAAGACAACTCCAAACCAGTGCATGGGGTGTACTTGCGAAACACCGTTTTGTTTAGGGGGTGTAAAATCCAAAACGATCCATCTCATTCATCATGTTTGCTTGGGGTACAAGACTATCCACTAACTATGCTTCTATAGGGGTAAATGGCTAAAGAAATGGACGCATATGCGCAAAATGCTGGCAGCAAATTTACATCCTGCGCTTGTGGTTTCGCTTTGAAGGCCAGAAAACCACCAAATCGTTGCAAGCTCTCCAAGGTGGCTTCCCCGCGCACGGCCTTCATCAGCTAGTTTCCACCCACCCACCCACCCATCCCATCCCCCACCCACACCCATCCCCACCCACCCACCCATCCACACCCACCCACCCACCCCACCCACCGATCCCCACCCACTCACACCCGCCCATTCCCACCCACCCATCCCCACCCACCCATCCCCACCCACCACCCACCCAGCCCCACCCATCCATCCCCCACCCACCGACCCACCCACCGACCCACCCACCGACCCACCCACCACCCACCCACCCACCCATCCATCCCCCACCCACCCACCCACCCATCCATCCCCCACCCACCGACCCACCCACCCACCCACCCACCCACGCATCCATCCCCCACCCACACCCACCCACACCCACCCATCCCTTGCAACAAAAAAGCCCCGTCCCTCTCGGACTTCCCGGCCCTCTCGCCACCAACGCCCCCAAACGCCCCCAAACGCCGCCCGCGCTCCTGGCAGCGGGGGCTGGCCGCCTTGCCCCACCAGCTGCGCCGCAGCTCCGAGGCCCTGGCCAGCTGCTCCTCCAGGCCCAAGCTGCAGCAGCCCACCTGACGCCGACACCCAGGCTGGCTTCGAGAGACGCGGGGAATGAGGCGTGGCATGACCCCAGACTAAAAGAAACCCCCGATTTGTGTGTTTTCCTCGGAAATATCTAGGTTCGCACAACTGCAGTGGGTCACCTTAGATATCGGTAGACACACCAAATGCTTGGTGAAGAATTGAGGAGCCGGCCCCATGTTGCCCAGAAACTAGCTGAAAAGTGGGTGATAGTGAGTATGATGTTTCATCGGGGAGCCTATGGTGACATCATTTACATATGGGTCAAAATTAAGCCACCAGGATATGGACCGCAGGTGTTTGGGCAATGTTGCTTGCTGGTGCGAGAGATGCGGGGAAGGAGACATGGAATGACCCCGAACTTTAAAAAATATATATGTTGTTTTTTCTGTCCCTTAAGGGAATCGCCTTCCGGTTCTCACAACTGCAGTGGGTCGTCTTAGATATATCTTGGGGGGCGCAGGGAATGTGACATCTGGGCTGTCCGTTACCAGATCCGCTAAAAGAACTTTTCTTGGGGGGGAAATAAGGAAATCCAACGAAACGCTGCAAAGCAAAGCTACAAAGCCAAGGGGATGGCTGGGAACCACCAAGAAACAAGCAGAAGGAACATGGGGAAGCAACGGAAAAACCACATATTGCGGGTCCAGGGATTGGAAACCACCTCCCTCTCCTGTTTTCTAGGACCGCAGGGAATGAGGGAATGACCCCCAAAACCATCCCCTCTGGTTTCCCTCAAGGGAATCCACTTCCGGTTCATTCCCAACACCTGGAAGGTCATTCCCTGCTGAGCACCACCAATCAAAGGTCGATCAATTTACTGGTTTTCATGGAACCGATCACCACTTTTGGAGGTGGCCTTTGTGTTTTCTGCACCACTTGGGCGTGGTTGTCAAAAATAGGGCAACCCCAAAATCTACCCCCAAATGGGTTAACAAGGAGCACCTGTCCCCATATCCTGAGTTTGCACCAATACCCTCGTTGCCATGGCTCACAAAACCCCGGTCCCAAGTCAAGTGGAACCAGACCCAGGTCCAAGGACCTTCCCGAAGCTCTGAGCCAAAAGCAGTGGGCAGCTCGAGCTCGCAAAGGAAGCCGCCGGGCGCCTCCCGCACCTCGCGGCCCGTGAACGAGGAAAACATACAGCGGGCCGTCGTGTGCTTTAAGACTGGATCTAGCAATCATTGTAGTAAGCTGTGTGTTGTTGTTGATACCCGCAAAGGGGCGTGTCTTTGTGAGGGTTAGCTTCAAGAGTTACCGCCAGGAAAACCCCCTCTATTTCCCCACCCCACCCCCCACCCCACCCCAAAAAAAAGAAGAAAGAGAGCGAGAAATGCTCTCTTGCCCAGTTCCATTGACCTGTGTGTGGGTCTGAATCTTAAAAAGGGACCCGAACTAGTGGACATCAAAATTCGGTAAGGACTCATGTCCACCAATCACTTTTTGAGGTGGTTCCCTATTTAAAAATCATCGCCATGTCATTCTCGTTTCAGCAAATGTCTCTAGTGATAGATTCCCTTTCAAACCAGGGGGAACAACCAGAATGGCTGTGGCTTAAAAAACCGGTACCAACATGGAACCCTGTTAAGTGGAAACATGGACCAAAACCTGCGGTTTGCCCCTCCAGCTTAATTTTGAGCCACATCCAGATATGAACCCCCAAAACGGGCACCTCAAGAAGCATGTGTTGCCTGAGGCCTGACGGAGCTCTTTTTCAAGTGAAGGGAAACCAAAAGGTTTCAGCCAAGCCCATGTTTGGCTTCTACATTAATGCAGGGGAAAAACAAAATTCAAACTGCTTGTCAGTAGTGGCCGTGTTGCTTCAACCCAAGAACTCGCCAATTCGCCAAATGGAAGTCACGGTCCAATTTCAGCTTCGCTCCTGAAACAGCAATCCCACGTCAATTTCGGCACGCCTCCCGATTGGCAAAGGGAACCGACTTTGATGGGGTAGCTCGCAGCACCCGGAAGCCGGAGATTCTACCTTGCGTTGTTGTCAGTTTTGAAGGAAGTGAGTGCTAAATAGGGTGTCTGCCAAAGATGAGCAAGTTACCCAACACCTGTTGGTTTTCCTTTGAGTGGCTTACTGGCCTTAACCCAAAAAATCCCCCCATCCAACCCCCCACCCCTATCTTTTCCCATGGTTTTAGTGGGCCTCTCTCATTTGGAGAGCAAAGCCAGTTCCGTGCTTCACGGCCTCGAACATGGAGTAGCCGTACTTCTTCTTCTTCGTGTTGTCTCGGAAGCTGGGCTTGCAGAAGTCCTGCGAGCAAGCCAAAGTCACACGAAGACACCAGGGGAGTCACAATCAAAACCTGGTATTGAAATGGTCAATCCCCAGAACCATGTAAAGAAAGGTCTACCCAGAATCATGTAAAGAATGGTCCAAGCCCAGAACCATGTAAAGAATGCTCTACCCAGAGCCATGCTTCAAGAGCTAAGAAGGCGGCGAAATGCAACTATTTCTGGCTGGGACTGCCCCTTAACCTTCATCTACCCAGGTTTGGGGGCTTTCTCACTACAAGATAGACGGCAGAAACCCAGGGGTGCTTTTCTTTGGGGGAAATCAAGGGACCCTGGGTCCCAGGGTCTATCTTGGGGTGAAAAAGTGGAACCCGGCCAGGTGATGCCAAAAAGTCACGTGGCGGTTCCTTGTTTTTGTGAGCCCCTGTTTGATTGTTTTAGGAAAACCTCTCAGCCATTTTGGGATTTTGGGCTAACCTGAACCTCCTGGGCGGTTGGAATGTCTTTATTTGGCTAGTTGGTTTGTGCACAGACTATGCAAAGCACACCAAGTGCGACGCCAAAAGCACAAGGGGGCGGGGACCCAACACGGCATGCGTTTCGGCTTTGCTTTTGCCCAATTTAAGCCAGCCCTCAAAAAGATGCATGACACCAGATTCCAGCTCGAAGCTCTAAGCTTCAGCAACATCCCGCATGGCTCGTGGAAGCGACTCTTCAGGATCCTCGAGGGCTAATACTCTACCTCAAGCAACGTAATCTATATAGAAGACCATCACTCTCTGCCGCGAGTGAGGGACATCTCCTCTAAGTACCCTCCCTCCCACCAACATGACACCTGCGGGAGGGCATCTGGAAGATCACTTTTTCCTCTTGGAGGGACCGGGTCCCTGTGCCATGGCAACGGAGACGTGGCGGTACCCAAATCGGCCTGATCTCTCCGACAGCCCCCCGGAGTCCAGCAACTCCCTGTCGCTGCCATTGGCCGCCATAATGAGGATGCCGTACACCGTGGTGTGCAAGTGCGCCTGGCCATCTAGCTGGCCATCGCAAAAAATGCCGAAAAGAGGGGCGCGCGCATAGGTGTCCTTGTTGGGGCAATAGATGGCCCTGGATGATTAAACCACCAGGTAAACCAGGAATCGCCACCTATTTTTCCTACCAAAACAACTAAAAAGGACACCTATGGACGGGGCGCGTCTCTCACTGCCCAGGCCTGCTACAAAAAGGCCTAGGGCGTCGCCAAACACAAGAGCTGAACAATCCCTCTTTAGGATCCCATATCAATGACGATGGGGAAGAAAGGTACCCTTTTGTAGTACTTGATGTTAAAGGGACGCCCCCTCCAAAGAAAAGGAAGAAAGGAAGCCGCCGCCACTTGTGGATATCTCTGACTCGTGCCTTGGCGCGCTCGATAGGCATCCTGGCGAAACTGCTAAACCAGACCAAGCAAGCCTGCTTTCTGAATCGAAATTCCTCTCAAGTCGAGTGCCAAGCGTCTCCATTTTTTCCAGGGATTGATCCCTCTTTGCAGAAAAGCAAACACTTCCGGGAGACATCGTCTCCGAAAAGAAGAATGGTTGAACAGAATGGGGCACCAAGCCCAGAAGCTCTCTTCGGGGGCAGGCAACAGCCGAGTGCAAAAAAGTCCCCTCCTCTTTCAAAAACCAAGGACCTGGATGACAACACGAGCATGGGGAATGACCTTTCGAGTTCGGGTCTTGGGATTGAACCGGTTTTCGGGGATTCCCGACTTCCCGAAAAAAGGAAGACCACCAAGTTGGATATTTGTTGGGTCGTTCCAACTCGTTCCTTGCTGCCCGGCACGGGGGTTGAACATCTTCAACCTGTCACCTGGGTCAGAAATCAAAACCCGGTATCAAAATTGTCTACCCAGAACCATGTAAGGAAGTACAAAGGCGGCAGCTGTTTCTGGCTGGGACTGTCCCTACCCTCATCTACGCGAATCGGTTTTGACCGTGGCTCACCTTAAGCCCCTGGGAGGTTTTGTCCAACGCCTGGCGCCGGTGGAAGAAACCACGAAGCTCTCCCCATCCGCCGCAGTTGGCAGATCTCTTTGCCGGCGGATGGGCCAAGTTCTCCTCGGATCCATTTGATGAAACCCCCTATGGTTGGAATATAAGGGGAACACAGAAAATGGGCTTGTCTTTTTTCTAGGGGACAGGGACCCCCAAAAAAGCTGGCAAGTCCTTTTGGTTTCCCTTCAAAACCACCAAAAAAGGGTACCAGCTCAAAAAAGACGAGCCACCCAAATGCGGTTTGTCTGATTCTGTTTCATTGGCCTTAAAACATAAAATAGTTCTGGAGGAGATCCCGACAAATGCGTGCGTGTGTGTGTGTGTGTGTGTGTGTGCTTTTGGGGATGGGTACCCTTTTGGGGCTGGGTTTAATTAATTAAAGGGGAGTCAAAATGGACACCATCAATTTGTTGGGGTTCCCTGCTTTGACACATACCCTTGGGGATCTTGTCCTTGCTGCAAAATTCCTGGGTGTTGGTGGACAAATGTTTGGCCTGGTGCCCAACAACAGAAAGCAAGAACAAAAGAATCAAGACCCAAAGCGAAACCAGTGAAACCCATCGATTAAGCCAAATGACTCAAACAGGACTTGGTTGCTGTTGACCCCCTTGCAAAAAGTTTAACTTTTTGGGGCTTTAGTGGAAACCCCCCTTGATTTCCCAAAAAGTTAAAGCCTAAAGATCCAACCCAATAGCAGTCAAGAGGATATGCCCAACTCCCAGCATGTTCCAACGCGACATGCTCACCGAAAATCGCCGCGCGGCCTCTCCGAAGCACAGCTCCGGTGAAACATGCTGTGCCATCCCAAAAGAGTATCAACACACCGCACCGTCTTCAGGCAGGGGTCATTCTTGGGCACATGGATGGCTCACAAACTGGGAAAAAAAAAGCATCGCCGCCAATTCTGAATGCTCAGCCGAGCGTGGAGCGTTTGAGCGACACCCAAACATTGCGCAAGCAGGGGGCAAAGCACGAGTTATCTAGTGTATTGTTGCACAAGAACCTGGAAAAGGACAGGTTGATACATTTTTCTTTGTCGCGTCTCCCGCGAGAAAAAACATCCTCGCAAGGGCACCAAGCCAGTTGCTTTCTGGATACAAAATCACCTCTCTGTCGGTGAAGGATCGGGTAACCCCAGCAACCCAAATGGGTCGCCAAGGACGAACACACCTGCGATGCGGTGCATATGTTTGTCTAACTTTAACCCACACTCACCTTGGGTCTTGGGAATGAACCGGAAGGAAATGGATTGTATCCAGGAAACCAGAGACAGCTCCTTTTCGATCCTTTCTTGTTTCAGCCCAGCGGCAACGTGTCCAGGACCATGTCCTCGGTGTGCTTTTGATTGGATTCAAGCCCACACAGGGAAGCTCGCCCTTTGGAAACCAAAACACCGCCCCTCGCAAAGACCCTGTGTTGTCTTTTTGGGGTGTATCTTAGGTTTGTATCTCATGGTGTACTTTTTGTGCATTTTTGGTTGTTCGGACATTTATAGAACTTTGGCTGATTGCCCACCATAACCTTAGTTGCTGTTTGTCTTCTCCGCAACTTGGCAATAGTCGGCTGTTGTCAACATGTCCCAACATGTTGCTCTCGCGCGCTACGAAGTCTGCTTTTTGCGTGCATGCAGACAGGTATGCAGGTTGCATGAAATCGTGCATGTGCCGTGTCTGGTGAAAATGTGTAGAGGTCAGCGGGTTTAGGGTTGTTTTCGGGTCAGGGTTCAGGGTTCGATTTAGGGTTGGTCTAGGGTCAGGGAGGGTTGGGTTGAGGCTTGGTCTCGTGGAAGGGTGTGTTTCGGGGACCGTAGCAGGTGGTGCGGGGCCTCGGGCTCGGGTCGGGGGGTCAAAGATAAGTATGCAACTAGGTCCTCCAGTGGAGAGGTTAGAAGAAGGGTAGTCTATTCAAGTAGGGGAACCCTCCCCCAAAAAAGGGGAGAGAAGGGCACTACTGGGGAACCTAGGCAACAATGCACACAGAC